TGTGGGGGTTTCAGGTGTTGCAACACCCACGGGTGTGATTTAAACACCCTCACACAACCTTGCAGCTGAAAGTAGGCGGTTTTTAATTTCATAGTCAGTGTTCTAAATTCAGTGATGTCAGTGTTCCCTGTTTTACATAATGAAAGCAGTAAAATACAGAGACGGATGACAGGGGGAGAGGCAGAGAAATGAGTGGTTGCAGATTGAGACAAGAAAATGAGAAGATGAAAGAAAACCGCGACACCTCATGTACTTCATAATTAAAGTGGTAGTGTTTTGTAGTAGTGGTGAAAAACATCCTCTAAATTATGGACAGACGCTGGAGAGCAGGGCAGGATTATTGTTATTAGGAAGGCAGGCAGCGCTGTCGCCTGTTGTTTGTGTACTGTCGAGGTTTGAACTGGGCGTTATTGCTTTTCTTTACAAATTTTTTCTCCAAAAGGAACATGAACATGGTTATTTGTTTATGCAAAGCAGGGAAGTGGTTTGCAAGAGCCTGAAGGTCCAGGAGCTTAAAACATATATGTAACTGTAAAGTCTGTATGTCAACAAATTAAAAATGATTTTTATTAAAACTTAATGCCATGATCCTAATTTGTGCTACACGTCGTACATTATTCGCTACTTTGACAAATAACTAATTTGAAGAGTTACGGCGACAGCGAGATTTACAGCAGACATACAGTGTGCTGTAGGTTCATTAGTCAGACTGTGTGCTATATAAAGTGATATGTGGTCTGCCTGTGGTGTATATTAGAGCTGCTGCCAGCTGTTAGCCCTCTCTGTGTAGCCACAGTGACTGATGACTGCTGCGTTCTGTCGCAGGGTTAAACAGACACTCAGCTATCTCACTGCTTGCATACAACCCTTAAAAGCTTTGCAATTGTGACCTGCTAAATTAATACATTATGATAAAAGTAACATAAATCATTTACTGTTGTTTTAATTTCTTTTTATTTCAAGATGTTATACATGCAGTATTTTTATTCACTGTCTACCTTTCTGAACCCCTTCACTTCATTTTACCATACGAAAAAACAACACATGACTACACAGATCAGATCTGTGTGTACACAACAGTAGTATATATGTACATGTGTGTGTATAAGTCTACAACTTCAAATGGCTGTTTGAAGGTTAAGACTTGGTTTAAGGTTCAGGATAGACTTAGGGGAGGGTCAGGCTAGGAGCTGCAGTTAGGTATTTAGTAAAGGTAAAGGTGCTGGGAAATGCATCATGTCTATGAGTGTCCTCACAACTAAAGAAAGACCAATATGTGTGTGTGTGTGTGTTACCGGAGTTGCAGGAGTTAACGCTGTTACCGCAGAGTGGGTCGCACAGGGAACAGAACATTGCTGGGTGATGGCAGGCAGTTACTCGTGTCTTTTTATGCCGGCTTTATGTTTGTCTGACTTCTTGTGTAACTGTAGTGACTTAAATCTGAGTGGTTTGTTGTACAAGGTGCAGTCGTATTCATATGCATTATTTTCAACAGGCTTCAGATACTTACCCATATTAGATGATAATAACATAAAGAGAAGCAATTTTAACTTATTACTTCTAGAAGGGGCTGTATTTTTTATTTATTTTTTTATTTTTTTAATGAGAGGAGACACCACGTTGGCCCACACACCACATCGCAACACACTTGGTGGGTGTGCGCCGATAAATTCTGACTGGGCTGCACAGTTTGTACTTTATGAAAAAAACATTATCTTAATAATTCAATTAATTTTTAGGATCGGACAAAGTCATATTAACATTTTAAGGCCTAAATTTCAAATGATTGGATTTTAAGTTTTTCAAGGACCTGCAGAAGGGCCAAGAAGTACCTTTATTTTACTGTTATATCAGTTGTGCCTCAATGATTTTTTTTTTTTGTTTGTTTGTTTGAATATGTTTAAAAAGACAAACAGCTGTGATACAGTAAAGTACAAGACTGGACATATAGTCCACGCTGTCAGACTTTCTCACTGGTAAACTAGTGAGCTCCTCTGTTCCTCTGTAGCACTTTCCCACCACTGTAAAGATCAGGGGTCCAGTTACCTTCAATATGAGCATTTGTCTTGATGAACAGAATTGACAGTGTTCGTGTTCGGGAGCCCAGTGAGGGATCGCGTCCTTGACGCTGGTACGGGCAACTACACAGGAAAAACATACATTGATTGCAATGTCTCAACTTGAGGCTTGAGAGTTTTATTCTTGATGGTGTCTTCTCTTACTACTTTTATTACTTTTTATACATCCAATTTGTTAAATTGTAAAAATGAATCCTGTTGAACCAATTCAGGGTCATACATGAAACTTAACGACGCACCGACTCCCTGCTGAAGGAATGTAATCGCTACTGGATTAAAGCGTTACTGGTTTACCTTTAGCACGCATTATAACCAGCACAAGCCCGTGGACTCGTGCCCTCTCATGCACGCTACACAGCACTGCTCTTTTGTTGAAGGGTTAGCTGCTCTCAGCCACCAGTCACCTCTAATCTTGCTATCTTTCAGTGGCATGTCAGAAAGGGATTCTTCTGGTGCAGCTCTGACTGGATCTCTGACCTCAGAGGCTGACAGAGGGCAGTCCTCCCGGCAGCTGTCATGTCTTATTACCCACAGTGCACCCGCCCGATGGCACAATCGCAACACACACACTGCTAAACGGCTCACCCCAGTCTCCCTTTTATCTGTGTGCAGATAAATACTGCATGTGTGTGTTGATGTGTGTATGTGTGTGTATGCTCTTAAGGCTGAGCCAAAGGTGTCACAACAGGACTGGAGCAGCACAAATGTGTTCATAACACAAGACCAGAGTACCAGTTTGGTTTTTTTTTTTTTATGGGTGGAGAAACTGGTTGTCAAATGGAACTGCTCTCACAGTGTCTGCTCTATATACACAGACGTAGTATGTAGTGGGGATAACTGGACTTTCACATTCACCTGATTCACATTCACCATTTCATGTTCACCAAGGTCCAATCCCAGTGTCAGACTCATGGGACAGCCCTATGAGCTCGAGGCCTCAGGGCCGTCCCACTATAAAACCTTCAAGAGCATGAAGGCTCGATCGCATACATTTTGAGCCCTTCACGCGCACTTTTCCTAAGTCCACATTTCTGTAGACTTTGCCTGAGGGTATTACCCATAGGTCATAGCGTTGAGATGCTAAACACATGGTTACCATGGTTACAAGGGGACGCCCAGAGGCATTAAAAAAATGAAAAACAACATAGCTCACTGGTGATTCAGAGCCAGACCTGTGAGTAGTTATCTGATAGCATGATGAATTCTCTTATCCAACATTATTTCTTTGTTTACAAATAGGGATGGTAAAAAATGTCAAAACCAAAGTCCCAAACCCACAATTGTACGCAATATGTCAAGTGCTGTCACGTTTCTCTTCATACCATTTCGAGCCCTTGCAGCCTCTTACTCTCGATCACTTACCAGGTGACGTCAGTTAAGTCTGTGAGGGTTCAGGGTTCGGCTCTCAGAGGGGACACTGGGATTGGGCTCAAGATGCCATACTTCATTCTGTTCGTAGTCATGTAACTTTACCATATAAATATACTGTAAATCACAGGAAATAATAGTAATATAATACAGCAATTTAATAGAATATTTCAAAAATACTTTCATGAATTAGAATATTTACCAAACCCATCAATAGATACAGTATATGATCAGAAACACAAGACAAACATTGCAACCAACGATTGAATAATTTTTATTTTTAATGATTTTTTTCCAACATGTCCTGTTACATATTAACCCACCAATGGGTAAAATGTTTGAATCTTTTTTTATGTTGTATCTTGTTAGCCGGCAAGCTAATCATGTTACATCCAAGCAGATGGCATATAAGTAACCAAAGAGGGAATTGATGTTGATATTATCATTTAACTCCAGGTTTAAAAAGAATAGTATTAAATCAGTAAATCAGATTTAATTAGAAATGATCTTGAATGCTTTTGACGCACTGAAGTTACAGGGCCTAAATCTCAACTCCATTTATAGGCAGGATGTCACTTCACTTGTATCATTGTTCATACTGCTTTCATCATACGTGTATGAATTTGAACCACAGTTGCATCGGGAAGTAACACGTCTGTAGTAGGTAGAGCTTTGTCAGTGGTGGATTTCACAAAAACAAAACTGAATTTTTGAGACTACATGGTCACTCTATAAATTGTATATATAAAAAGATTCTCCAACCCTCACTCACTTGTAAAAAACCCTCTCACAGTCCATTACATAATATAAATATACCTCCTGGTCAAGCTACAAACTTCTGCACTTTCTCTTGTCGAGATATGGGCTTTTCCTCCTTAAGTGACTATATGAGACTTCCACAGACATGACAGTTGAGCAGCCCACTGCTACCTTCCCCTGTTTGTTATGGTTTGCATTCAGGTGGATTGAAGGTGTGAGTGAAGGTCACGCTGTAACCATCGCGGTGTGTGTGCAGGTCAGGTCTTACAGCCAGAAGCACGATAGCTGCAGATGAGAGAGATGCAGGGCTCACGCCATACATAATTAATGAGAGAGATTTGAGAGAGTGAAGACCTAACACCTCTGGGCAGGGCGAGTGTGTGCATGCTGCACGCTGCAGACAAAGCGAGCTGAGTCAAAATGGCAAAATGTACAAGAGGAAGAAATAGAGAAGTGCACAAAGGCAACAACTCTGCTGCCAAATGGTGTGATTTCTAAAAGACCGTCTGCTGTGGCAGACTGGCGGAAGAGATGTTGGCTGTCTAATGTGGGCAGCCGCTGCCCCAGCTCTGCTGTGGCGGCAGCGGTTCACTCTGATTGGTTCAGCCACCAATGTTGCAACGAGCACAGATCAAAGAGCAGGCCAAAAAAAAAAAAAAAAAAAAAAAAAATCTAATGGCACAACTGAGCTGAAGTTTCAGGCTCGTGGTCATTGCCAGGAAAATGAATTTAGACTGATGCTGATGCTACTGTGTGTGTTTGTGTGTGTGTGTGTGTGTGTGTGTGTGTCCTCAGATATCGATGAGTGTGCAGAGGGCCTGATTGAGTGCCACAACCACTCCCGCTGTGTCAACCTGCCCGGCTGGTACCACTGTGAATGCAGAAGTGGTTTCCATGACAATGGCTCCTACCTGCTTGATGGGAGCTCCTGCATTGGTGAGCATACACTGAATTGCAAACATCCTTATCACTGCTTGAACTACCAGCCCCTCAGACTCTGCATGCCAACCACCTAGCTACTGTAGACCACCCTCCCTTCCTCTCTCTTTCTCTGTCCAATTACTCAGGAATTCTGAATACTGTCACTGCCTGGCTTCCTCTTAAATTCTCTTTCATCTCTGGTCTCCTACATGATTGCTTGATTGTTATTATTTGTCTCGTCTATCCTGAAATCTACGATGGGTGCATGTCTGCTTGCATGTGTGCTCCTTTTATGCCACCCAGCAGGCTTTTACAAGTAGGCTAATCAGAGGTCTTCCCACCTTCACAGCTCGAGATCTAACCACGTGCGGTGAAACCCACACTCTAACCATAATGAGATATTCATGAGGAACACACATCAGCCTTGTGCCGCTATTAGATGTTTGTGGCGTGTGGCCTCCCTCCCATGTGTTAGCCTGCAAAGACAAGGAGGCAGAGTTGGAGACGTGTGTTTCTTGTGTCAAAAAACGGTGTTGATGATGCATGGAACAGGAGAATACAGTGTAAGGCCTGACTTTAAAATCAATTATTAACCTGCTTGCATCTGCTTTGCTTGAATGGATAATCACACATTCACACTGCAAGCAACAGTGTTTTCAAAGATTGGGGGCATTTCATAATGCTATTGCATATTAATGGTCTCATGCAGTCAAAGTTTTAAACAGACCATGTACAGTATCTTACACTGCTTTGGTTTTTCCCCTTACATCATGGCATGTATTGATAATTGACAGTAGGATCAATTTTAGAGCAAAATTTGGAAACAATGAGAAAGAAATCAGTAGTATTTCTGCGACGTTTACTCAGGCATAGATGCTGCTACTGTCTCTCGCACACCCACAGATTTGTGCTGCTGCTCTGACAGATAAAGGTTTTAGGATGGTGTGAAGAGCTATAATGAACTTTAAGCATTTCCTTTTATTTGAAGAGTTTGATAGGCCTATTTGACGTGATTTAAGCACTTTGTTAATTTTGATTATGTCCCACTTAAAAAGAGAAGTCATCGATGTCATATACTATGCTCCACTGAATATTTCATGTCATAGTGTGAAGGCCAGGGAACAGAGAGAAAGAAACAGACTTTGATAGCAACATATGTTGTTTTTCTGCTGTGGCTGTAAATCTCTTAATGAGGCTTAAGTCCCAAGTAAACACCGGTTTGCTGATGTGCAGCTCAAAAGATGTTTCGACAAAACCTACATGGCTATACTTTAACATGGAGTTGTGACCTGCTTCACACTGAAATAGACCCATTTAAATATTGTTAAAATGACAATTACATGATATTTTAAAGCAAGAGTAAGAGTCTATGGCTATGCTAGGAGCTCTGTAAGGCTGTACTGATGTGCAGCAGTGCTTGGAGCTAAATAATGGCTTCAGTATGCTAACATGCTGACACTGACTCTAATATGCTAACGATAGCAGTTATGATGTTTAAAGGAGCTATTTGTCAGTTTTGTTATTGCTACCATAGCCAGTGTTAACATTAACAGCTGTTTACTTACAAGTCTAGAAGAAATGTTGCAAGTTCAGCATCAAACTTCATTCTTTTACTTGCCAAGAGCTGTCTCCAGTAGTGGGTTTATCACTTCTTTTCTTCTACTGAAATTAGCATACTAACCAGCTAGCCCCGGCCCATATCAGACTGTCTTGTTACTTTCGAAAGCAACTCTCTGTAGCCTCCGATCTGCCCTGAAGACGTAGTGCACAGCACTGAAAACTAAAAGAAATAGCCCCTTTAACATGGTCACCATCTTAGTTTAGCGTGCTAGTGTGCTAACATTTGCTAATCGCAGTTAACACAAGTACAGCTTCTTACTGATTCCTGGCACTGACATTACCTGCATTTTATGATTCTCCATTGTTCAGCATATTACGCACAGCATTCTGCCTTAATTAGGGCCAATCCTAGACACTGCTGTAATTTTTGCCTATGCACCGGTGTAAAGTTGTAATTGATGCGGCAAACAGGGCTGCTTGGCTGAGTGAAAGACTTTTGCCTTCACTTAACCTTTAAATCAAAATGCAGCATCAGCAGTCTGGTTTGATTCATTTCCTTTGAGAGGGGGAGGTATGATTTCAGCACATTCAGAAATTGTTTTCTCTATAACTCAGTTCTTGAGGGAAGTGATGGACAGAGGTAAAACATATGTCTGACTTTACTTTGCAGCAGCTTGGTGTCATTTTAGCACACAGGCTGAGCACCACCCAGAGCATCTGTAACAAGGTCACTAATCAACACTGTTTTGCTTTCATGTTTTCCTTTTCTCTCCATTTTTTTTAGTTTGCTCATCCAATTTGACATTTAAATCTATCTCTTAATTTAGAGTCAGCTTTAGGCCATCACAGCCTCTTCTGCAAAATATAATTGTTTTTCTCATTATAAAACTTAACCATGTGTGAGTCATGGGAGATGAACTTAACCATAAATGTTCAGAGTTTAGCACAAAAAGGAAAATTATCATCATCATCAAGAGCCATAAATGGATCAGATACAAAATTACTGAACATGTATTAACACCAGTAGTTTTAACACCTAAATGTAAAATCAGACATCAAAGTTTTTGTTTTCATGAAGTTGTCAAAAGTATTTAGAGAAACATTGTACATTCAGATGAAGTGGGTTCACTATAGTACAACAGTTTAAGTGGATATTTCTATAAATGGTAATATTAAAAGAATATTCTACCAAAAAGCTCTTTGCTGGGCATCCAAAAGGCTTGCAAATCTGGCTATGACAGGCTTGTAGTTTCTCTCCTAGGTGGATGGCGAGAGCTATAGTTAGCTTGGATTTAATGGATGGAGTTAAAATGGACTCCAATGGTCTCCAGAGTCATGGTACAGTATCAAAACTTCCGTGCAGCATAATCCACTTCTCTGCTGTGGTCTGCATGTTCAGCATCTTTTTAACATTCATAGTTTCTCCACATCAGAGGTAAACACACTACTTCTGTGTGAGATTATAGCTCCTAAGCACTACCACAAGTAGCATATTTAGCAAATTATTGATGAAGCGTCTAATGCTTGGGACATACTCAACATACAAATGAACGGCAGAGACGTGGACTGTTCTGCAGGAGTGGTTTGAAAAGCGTCTCTGGACAATTTGATTTGTTATGACTTCTTTTTGTTGAGTCACAATTTGAATCAAATGTAACAGTGAATCCAAGCTGACTATAGCGTCCATCTTCCACTAAAAAGGAAGCTACAAACTTTTCAGACCCAACTTTTAAGTTAAAAGAGGAAATGTTTGATACATTTGTTTTCCTTTAAAGGAGCTTTTTATATGTTTTGCTATTGCTACATAGCCAGCGTTAGCATTAACAGCTATTTATTTACCATTTTAGAAGAAATGTTGTTGAGTATCAAACTAAATTCCTTTACTTGCCAGCAGCTGTCTCCAGAAGCAGAAAGCAATGCCAGTGTTAACTCTCGTCTCTATCACGTCTTTTCTTCTAATGAAGTTAGCACGCTAACCAGCTAGCCCTGACCCGTCTCATCATTTTCTGAAAGTGACTCATTTCTAATTTGTCTTGAAGACGTAGGGCTGCTCAGAGGACGCATTATAACCTCTTGATTTATAAAGACAATGATGGCCAAATCTCTTGTCAAGCCACAAACATCACCACGCGCTCCCAGCAAGAAACCATGATTGGCAGCAGTGTAGGATTTTGAAAATGGCTGCCTTTGGTCAGTTCTAGTGGAGGTAACAGAAAAAGACAAAAGTCAAGTATTCATGTGATTTAGCACAAACTTTTGCTACACAAAAATTAGGAGTGGGCTCATCAAAATAAACAATTGGTGGTGATTATCCAGTCACAAAAAAAAGAGGCCACAACAGGATGATGCAATTAAAAGAGTGCCAGTCAAGCCTCAAACGGATGAAAGCATGATGGAAAAATGGCATCACATTAGTTCCGTGTATTAATTTGTGGATGGTTACAGTCTACTCATTGGCCCACACGGATCTGATGTTTTCATCTACTAACATTATTTGTCTTTTCACTCATGAGTCACATGCTTCTCGCTTGTCAGGATTTATTTTTCTGAGTCTGTTTCCATTGCACTTTGATTCATTTTGTTTTGGTTAATACACCCACTTGTATACCCTTTTGCAATATCTCCGCTTCTTTCTCCATTTTGCCATCATTTTCATGTGCTAATAGAAAATGTGCGTATAACAGGTGGATGCAAATGTACTTTGGAGTGGCTGACAGCGGTGCGGCGCAGTTTCACACAGACACCAATGCACCACTTCTCACTTGGGTTCATTTCATAGAAACTAAAAACGTGTGCCATCAGAATGATTTAAAAGATTGGTATAATCACATAAAATCAACACATAACTCACGTCTGCAGCGAATGACAGAGACGTTACTCACATCAGTCAAGTCTAATTGGACATTAACTTACTTGACTGTGCTCTGTGATCAGAGGCTTTCAACAGATTAGGGATATGATTTATGCTATGTGATTAGTGAAAGCACTTATTTGTGTGTCATTAAGAGACGCCATTAATAACATTGCTTTCCTAGACTTTAGAGCATAAATACAAGTGTGTGTCATAATATTTGTGTATTTTGTACTTTTATGTGTGCCACTCCTGCACCAGACAAGTGCACGTTGCTGTGACAGTACATCCACCACCTTTTCTCCTCCTTCTATGCAGCATTAGGCTGGAAGCCAGCAGGGGAAATAAGTACAAATGACAATTTAACAGGATTTTTTCCCTCCACAATATCCCTCCAACAGCCTCTCATGAGTCAACCAAACAGAAAGTAGCATTTTGTAATAAGAGAGCCAGCTCAAAGCAGAGAGTTGCAGAGACTAGAGAGTATGTGATGGCTGTGCAGGAGAGTAGAGAGCACTAGGGACAGGAATTAGTGAGAGAGAAGAGGATAATCGCATCTGGCAAAGAGGTTAAGTGGTTGTTTTTTGTTTTTGTTGTGACTTTT